GACGAAAGCCAAGATCAGCAGTCCAACAATGAGACCATCTGGTATAGCCTGAGAAGGCGGAAACAGTACAGGAGTCCGCGAAAAGGCCTTCACCTTCTTCAACTCTCTGATCTCTTCCCGCACAGACACATAAGCCGTTTTGATGCTTACACAGTGTATATCAAACCCTGGCCTACAGATGTACATGCCAAACAAGATATCCGTCATTCGACGACCGACCCACACACTTGGGCACGCTCTCCATCTCCAATAACAGAGGTTAGGTAATCCAGAACCGGCTTTCCAACCCACTTAGAACCCCTGTTGGTGATGACACCGAAGCCAATGTTTGCTCCAAACCATGGATGGAGCAACTCTGTCAACTTAAGGTTTTTCTGGGCTAAGTACTCCCGTTCTAAGCCAGACTGTGTTGGTGCTTAGATATCAAACGTCCGTGCGGAAAGAGAGAAGTGTGTTGAATATGAGATGAATCCCTTTTCGCTGACCCCTGTAGCAAGTTCCGGCTTACGTATCTACTTGTTTACGTGTTTATGTGACAGCCGACTAGATCTTTCGAGACCTTGGCATTTCCGTCAGCAAGTCGTCCGGAGCTGCAACGGGAACGTGCACGTGTCGTGTCCTCTTTCCAGTAAACTTCCGTGCACTTGGATTACACCACTATGTAGCGCTCCTGACTTCTTCATACTGTATACAGACCATCACGTACTTAACGGTACGGAGATGGGTTTTATGAAGTAGACCCCAGAGTATTTAGCTGCTCGCTTTGTCGCATGCCATGCTTTGTCCGCCTTTCGTTTGTGAATGAAAAAATTCAGCCATAACCAGATGTCTGGAGAGCCACTTCGGCTTTCCACACATCGAGAATATGTGGCAAGGAGGAAGCGACATGTGCGCTGGACTGCACATGTATACTTCAGCCAGGGCCACAGATAAGGGTACTCCGGCATGTCAGTTAAGCTCCAACCCTACAATATAAAACCTGCACAAAGTAAGACTCTTTGCCAGGACTGATCGTCTAGAAGCTGGATTGTAAGACGAGCCAATGACCGCGAAGCGGTTTGACAACTGATGGCTGCGAAGCCACTCAAGACGGAAGTTGAGATATGTAGAAGGGAGCAGGAAAAATGACTTCGGTCTCTTCCGCCTCGGAAGTTTTTTGCTCCAATTTCAGATAGAGAAAAGCGAAACGAGATAAGTTACCTGTTACCTGCACTCAAAGCTCGTCTCTGGGAAACTCTCCCGGGGAAGATCTCACCTCAAACTCCACCCAAAAATGGCGAGGATACCGCTCGAGATTGTATGGCAGGTCTTTGGTTGCTGCGAAGCTCCAACGCAGTCGTCTTTCCCGCGCTGTTGTCGTGCGTGGAACACGTTTTTCGGCCCTCTTCTGTACCAGGATAACGTCAGATATCATGGGTCCTCGGCAGTTTTTAAAACCATAGCTAGTTGTCAGGATGACGACATTGCGGTAAGAACTCTCCAAGCCGCCTCTAAGGCTGGTGCAGATTTCGACTCGCCTTTGTCGATGGCATTGCCGGAGCTCTGCCATGAAACTGTGTTCTCCGTCACCCCGCTGTATCTGGCTGCGTCAACGGGCAGAGAACGGATAGCCACCTTCCTCCTTGAGCAAAACGTCGACGTCGATGGCGCCCCAGATCTTCAACTACGGACACCTTTGTTCATAGCGCTTATGAAGAAGAACGCATCGCTGTCCCTAACCCTCTTGCGTAGGGGGGCCAATCTCGAGTCGAGCAGTTTCGGAATCAACGCGCTGCACCAAGCTGCTGCTGCTGGCCTCAAGGAAGTCGTCAGCTATCTCGTAGAAGAGAGAGGGATGGACATTAACGCAGGCGACAGAAACGGCGATACGCCACTGATCCACTCACTGCTTTCGACTGCTCCGGCGGACATTATATCGCATCTCAAGCGGCACCATGCTGATGTCAATAAGCCGACAACCATCGAAGCGTGGCACGTGTCACCACTTAGCCTGGCTTGCGAGGAAGGCTTGTTTGGTGTTGCCCAGAGCCTCTTGAGAGCTGGGGCGGACGCGACAGGCGGGACGGATCGTTTGGTCCCTGGCGCTGACCTCCATTTGGGGCATTATGTGCAGTATCCGCTCGAGCTGGCTTTGTTTGCTCAAACGCGACGGGGAGACGGCAGGACGTTGCTCGAGAAGAGGGAACTTCTAGAAAAGCTGCTTGCGGCAGGGGCGGACCCAAATGTGACAGTCTGCATCTCGGCACGTTCCAACTGGACCGGTCCGCTACTGATGAAGCTGGTCCGTTCGAAGCAAAGATGGGCCACTGATTTCCTACTCTCGACAGGTCGTGTTGAGATCGACAGACGCGACTCGAGAGGGGCGACCAGCCTCACGTGGTCCCTTTCTACCAGTCACGGCGACGCTCGTATGGCTTCCGTCCTGTTGCGATACGGTGCACAGCCGGAAGCGAGCCATTTGCGGAAAGTCATAGGAACCCTACAGCTCCTGACCGCTGTGACCGACTACTGGGGGTTAATCACCGTTTTGACGAAAGAGCCAAAGCTCCTAGCCGTATTCCGGGCACTGTATACCCACTGCTTCCACGCCGCTCTGAGAAGAAGAGACGCCACTGCATCCTCGTTTCTCCGAGAGTCCCCAAGACCGGTGGTTCGTCTCGTCACAGAAATGTGCAAGCTGAACATCAGCTTGACCAGGACGGGGGTATTCAAAATGATAAAGCTCCGGTCGGGGGGGAATTGGCACAACGGTCCAATCATCCCTGGTCTATTCTCCTAGCAGTCACGCACGAGATAGCTGGTTTTGTGACGGCACGGTCAGACTAATGAGATAACACCAGGCGCGGTGTTAACTATCATCTTGCAGCGAGATGGTCATCGATTTTACAGTCGGCAGTATATTCTACTAAGCACTACGACCCGATATCGGCGGGTATAGATAATTTCTAGTCATCGTGCGATGTAGTGAATGGAAATTACTGTGAGAAAGTGCCACCGACGTTTTGACATGGGGTGAAATCAAGCCTTGCTTGGAACCCTCTTCTAGTGGCGCCGCAGTCACTTGTAGATCGCCCTCCCATGGATCCCTATTTGCAGAGAACCCATTTTCGATACAGTCAACACGATCGGTGATATGTAAGATATACTGGCGACACATCCAGCCTAGGCTCTTTGGGCTCATGGGCGAAATTGCGTGCGCGTAGCAAGCTGGCAAACGGATGAGAACGCATCGAAGCTTTTCCGCTATATCGTGTGGACGTGAAAAGCTTCGAGTCTCGTTCAATCTGCTCTCACGAATGCACAGGCACCGTTCGGCTAAGGTGGTTTTTGGCAGGCATCGACGCGGTGCAAGTAGCGGCGGGGCCCTCGATCTATAAGAAGAGCAGAGGCCGCCGCCAACTTCGGCCGGACTCTTCCGCCATATACACCTTGAAGTTACAGACCGCATTCGAAAATGGTTTTGATCGACCTAACTAACGAGGATGAGAACCTTTCCTACTTCTGCTCTTGGTGTTATGCCCCTCTCCAGCAGAACATCCTTCTTTCCGGTTGTTCCTGCGTTAGCCTTCCCGCGTTCTCAAATTCTAAGCAATGTTCGACTGATCCAAAGTCTAGGTGATTTGTCCGACATGTTGCAAGAATCATCAATCTTACAGCGGAACGAAGAATGTACACTGTTCCAGGTACGACCATTGGCGCCACAACGACCAGCAGGTTCGTAAGGTCTTCGAGTTAGACTGCGCGATCTGCCTGGAATCTAGTCTACACAAGCCCCTCGGAGCCCTTCCATGTGGTCGGTCTACCATTCATGCTATTGTCAAGGTTTTCCAAACTGATCAGACAACAAGGCCATGTTTATCACATCGACTGTCTCAACCGATCCGGGCCAGGGCGGGTAAAAGTATGCCCCTATAAGTGTGGAGAAGGACCAGAATGTGTTGTGACTCCCACCAGCCTGTTGGGAAAACACAACGGCAGTACAGATGGACGACTTCTAGCCACGAGCGAACATCATCAGCGAGAGGGGATGAGAAAACGAAAAGAGGAATGGAGAAATCGAATGAAACGTTTTTGGGCAAAACAAGGAAAAGGAACTAC